AATACTATTGCACTTACTGATATTAAATCTATTTTTTTCTTATACCTATCGTTACTATCAATATCAGAAGTAATTAGGCCAAGTTTCAATCCATCATTAATTAATGATTGACCGCGAAAGCTATTTTTTAAAATTTCAAAAGGAAAAAGAATCTTTTGAACGGTTTGACCTATTTGGTTGAAATTTTAACAAATATGTTGTAGGTGTGGCAGAACAGTTTTACTATAAAATATATTTCTCTTTTGTAGAATTGTCGTCAAGACGTGATACATTAAAGAAAACAAATAAAACATCAATTTTTTTAATTTTAAAAATTAACTGTCACACTCAAGGTGTTAAAAGGCAATTATAGACTGAAACAAATTTCTTCTCAACGTTAATTGTAACAAAGAAAAACAAATGTCATATGTGCGGGGGCTTTATTAATCCAATTATTAATCACTAATAACTCATCATTGTCATAAGGTCGTTAGTCCTAAGACTGGTTGGACACGCACCTCCACTCCTTCCTATCCTGGGCTAATAATCGCATTTACCTAAAACTGGAACATCTCACATCCTTAACTATTTGCGAGCAGTAATGTACCTCAACTCCTCTTAACTCCTGTTTCTGCCTCTAATATGTCTCTGACTAGACTTTCATGCCTGAGGTGTCCTACCAACCTATCTCGCTTATTTTTTGTTGACTTCCATAGAGTCATAGTACTATTGGGAAAGGGGGCCATGATTTGTGTTAGGCATTTATGTTAGTACTGGAATGTTGGCAACTCTGAATCCATGATAAAATCGAACTGTGATACCACACTCAGGTGCCCAAATGTCAATAAAAAAATGTATTTTTTTATTTAAAATGAATAATGATTGGAAACTAAGGAATCTTAATTTTCTGAATTCAAGCCTAAAGATGTTGTAATGCACGCGTTACGTAATAAAGAGGAAGAGAGATAATCTCAGGTGTTACGTACCTATAACGTGTGGGGTGAAAGTTGGGTCCCAAAAAATGAAGAATTTTCCATAACCTACGTATGTTTTTATGTGTCAATATTTCAATCACTTCGTGGACAAACCGTAACGGTAATATAAATTTAGGGATTTCTTTTGCATATACGATTTCAATTTAGCAAAAATTTTAAAAATAGTTATCGTAGATTTTTATCGCAAAAGATTTATGGGTTATGATTTTCCTTTCTTTTTATTTCATATACCTAATTAATAAAACATTGTTAACCACAAAGGAAGTTGCTCACAAAATAAAAAAAAAAAATTACTATTCGCTACTTACCCGCGGACGCGCAAATGTGAAATAATTCTTTTACGTAACCAGGAAAACACCCTTAAAATTAATCAACAACCTCGTCATCAACTTCTTATTACATATGCACCACTCGTGCTAAAAGTGCCAGAGAACGTCACGTCTTCGCGAAAAGTTCAACTTCTCAACCGATGTGAAGAAGACGTAGAAGGAGAAGGAGATTTAACTATTCAAAACCCGCGAAACATTTGCCCGTTTTTTTACCGACGATATAAAATAACATCTAAAGTTCAAGATAGCAGCGAAAAGTTAGAAAGAGGAGTCAGAGAATAGAGAGAACGATCTCGAGGACCAGAGAGTTTGCAACCGGCCGGATCACTACCGCTTACTTTTGCATTGTGGAACTTACTAACACAGGCAGGATTCGCAGGACCATGCGTTGACGAAGCAGCAAGCAAAGGCAGGCAGGCAGGCAGGAGGCCGTGGAATTGGTGGCGGGGGTGTGACACGGTCCATATCAGGATAGGACGGGACGGAATACCAGCAGCAACAGCAGAAGCGACAGGATACAACGTTCCCGTTCCCATACAGTCACACACACACACACACGCATTCCAGTAATTACATATCTATCGTTGATACAATTGCAGATAATGGTGGCATGTCCTGATAAGGGATTCGGTGCTAATGCTAATAAGCGAAAACACGAATTACAAACACTAACCGAACAACTGATGGTTGAAAACTTAATTACGGACTGATTGAAGTACTGACATTGACGGTTTCTTCTGAACAAAATAAAAGAAGCTAAAGAAATTCAAAATATTATTAATTAAATATAAATTATCTTTATCTCAACAAAAGCAACGATTGTAGGCCCAAACAATTTTAAATTATAATTTAAATTGAAGTAAAAATTATTCTTTTTGTTTTTATTTATTAAGTTCCTATCAGTTCACGTGGAAGTATTGTAATTTAGTAATTGTATGTTTCGAGGTGACTAAAGTGAAGTGATAAGAAAATGATATTAATTTCGTTGGGGTGACAATCGATGCATACACTATTACCGTCAATACGATCGAAAGAAATTTTATTAAATTCCATCAAACCTTTTTTTTTATTTAATCAAAATGACTGCAGGGAAAGTAGACTGTTGACGTATAAGATTTTAGATTTACCGAAATTAATTTGTTTCATAATTTTTTTGGTGGTAGTAGTCGACATTTTAATGTTTTTGATCTTGATCAAGTTACCTCGTAGAGTCCTTCATAACTTATAATAGTGACAAGACGACGAGAAACAACGAACAATTAACATTAACAATAATAAGGAAGTAGGGGGTTAAATAGGATAATGATAATTCCGTTAACCTCCCATTTATCAGTGTTCACTGGTCATATTTTGATTATTATCAATTCATTAATAAAATGTACTTTGGAAAGAAATAAATTGGTCCATGGGCAAGCCTTTGGATTACATTGTAGAGTGCTACTAATTTTATTTGAAAATACTGACCTATATCTAGTGGTATTTGTTGTTGGTTTTTTGTATAGGTATTTTAGGTTGACTTTTATTATTATCGCAGAAAACCGTCAGGTCCAGATAGTTTAAAAGATTGTAAGTAGTTGAGTTAAAATAAATCTGATGAACGAACTTATACACACCTTTGTTAATATTATTTAAACTCAACATATGTAACCCCAACTCCTTCGTTTAATAAGCTTAAAAAGTATAAACTAAATTTTTTTGAGGTTTAGATCACCTGCCCTGGCCGGAGAGAACTGTGGTTTTCTTGGATCATTTAGGTAAATACTGGAACTGTGACATTCCGCAGATAATATGTCCCTTCTCTTCGGTCTTCATTTTGCCCGTAAAAAAATCAAATCAACAAACTTATATATCCCTTTCTTAGTTTCAGAATTTTAAACTCTCGTTGTTTGTAACTCCCACTTCTTCGGTTAAGCATAAAAATAACAATCTACAAACTAAATCTGTAGAGGTTTGAACTGTAGTTACAGATTTGGGAGGACTCCGGTTCTCGATTCGCCTGCCCTGTCTCCAGAGAAATGTGGTTTTCTTGGTTCATGTAGCCAAATGATGGAACTGTAATATCCCACATACAATATTTCACTTCTCTTCAGCCTTCGTTTCGTATGTCTCAACTGTAGCGATTCAGACCGTTGCTTAGCATTCGGGAAATCACCGATTTTATTCCGGATTCATCTGTTCTGGTCCGAGTTTCTCTATAATTCCTTTGGATCATTTAGGCAAATACTGGAGCAGTTACATTCCACAAACTTCGTCTAAACACGTTATGTGATAATATTTCATTTTTCTTTTGTCTTTATTTCGTCCGTCTCAACTTTAGAGATTCAGACCGTTACTTAGCATTAGGGAAGTTACCGATTTGATTCCGGATTCATCTGTTCTTGTCCGAGTTTCTCTATGATTCCTTTGGATCATTTAGGCAAATACTGGAGCAGTTACATTCCACAAACTTCGTCTAAACACGTTATGTGATAATATTTCATTTTTCTTTTGTCTTTATTTCGTCCGTCTCAACTTTAGAGATTCAGACCGTTACTTAGCATTAGGGAAGTTACCGATTTGATTCCGGTTTCATCTGTTCTTGTCCGAGTTTCTCTATGATTCCTTTGGATCATTTAGGCAAATACTGATACAGCTACATTCCACAAACATCGTCTAAGCACGTTATACAATAATATTTCATTTCTCTTCTCTCTTCATTTTGTCTGTGTTATCTTTCTCTTCGAAACCACCGCCCAACCTTTTCCATGTTTTCTAAAATCATTCTGAAGAAGTCCTTCCACTCCACACTCCAACATTAGTTGATGGCTAGTAGGAACCAAATGTCCAAAAGTTTCGTTTTAATTCAATCTTAACGAGCAGCTTCGTCTACATGTCTAAATCACAGCTCACCGTTTGAATGTGATTATTCTTATCCAAGATTTTCTAGGGTTTCCTTGGATCATTTAGACACGTGCTAGGACAGTAATATTCCACACAATTATTATCTTCCTTCTACGTTTTGCCCGCCTCATCGGCTTTTGCCTAAGTTCTACCCACTTCACAATTCCTAAAAGGACATTGAAGAGCACCTTCGGTTCCACCTTCCGGAGTTTCACAAGAGTAGGTCACAGGAACTAGAAACATGATGCATCCGTAGCTGATGGGAATGATACACACAAAAAGTTTTTGAAGTGAAACTTCTTTACTCACGGTAGGGTAAGTTCGTTTCATGCGAGTTGCTATGTAACGAAATCATGCAACGCATTTCCACCGATGTCTGTCCCTATCTATGCTTAGATCATTAAAACTACGCAACGGAATTTAATGCGGTTTTCTTTCGTAGATAGAGTAATTCAAGAGGAAGGTTTATATGTATAATACATGCATAATATAGTAGAGAATCACTGATAATTTTAGAGGTTTGTAATGTGATGTAAATAAACACATTTTTGCGCTTACATTGCAAACGCTGGCTGAACCCTACGAAATAGATCAAAATAATATACTATAGTATTGTACACCTTAAAAAGGTCTACAAAAAAGTCCGCGATGGTATATGTCTATCTCTTAAGGATAACCCATAATAACCATTTCTTATCCTTTACTTTTTACGAGAAATAATGGCTTATTTACGAAGCGATTTTACAGCATTAATCCTTATCCAATTAAGTACTTTTAAATACATTGTGTATTTAATATAGATCAATATGGCCCTTTACAGCATTTAAGTGAACATTTTCGAAAATATTACAGACCCAAAATACAGGGACATAGCGGTTGCGGCGGTACCGGCTGTGATTGTTGTATATAAAGACATTCTATAGTATATTTAGTATCAGCATTGCACCCGTGCGAAGCATAGTGTACAAATAATACCATTAAACCAATTCCTTAACTCCTATCCCGGTATGTTTGAGTGTTTGAAGAAGTTTCACTTCAGTAGCGTGTTGTATAATTACACGTTGTATTTTTTTGTTGTTTTCTTTAATTTCAGTAATACACTAGAGTTAGTAACGGGTTCTTATGACCAAGGCAATATTGTCGAGTTCAATGTAATGTTGATGAAACTATCTAATAGATCTTCTGTTAGACAATCCGCTTATTACCACTTTAAAGCAAATCTATATTGCCTTAATCTGAATTGTATTGTTTAGTTTAATGCTCGAAACTGACGTCATTAATTCGTTTGCACTCGACTGTACATTTCAAAGGTAGAAATTAGATTGGATGCACCACTGTTCCACTATAGCTGGCAATATTAGTTTGAAAATACTTACCGTGAGTTAGTTCGGGCAGTAACTAATGATTACAGTAAATGTGCCGGTCTGCTATAAAGATGGTTATCGAAATTGGTTTCCAATAATGGAACCAACTAGCTCACGTATCCGTCTGTTTTAAACAAATCCAATTGACATTAAACTAACCATGGTAGGAAAAGTTAGATAATAAATGTTGCGTCGGATTTAGGTATTTGAAAATGCCATTCATTGTGAAATGCACTGCAGCTTAATTTTGAATTTTTGCTTTCAAAACTATTTAATGTTCAGTACGAGCACAATTTGAAATGGAGATTAGATTACAAAAAGAATATTAGCATATCGAATTCAGAGGTAACATGAGGATTGTAAAACTTTATTGATTATAAAACTACGTTGATGTTTCGTTTGTTATAAAGAGAGGTTTTAAAAAGCAGGTTTCTAGTTATCCAATATTTGGTTTAACTGTTAATTTAGAAATTCGAAAAACATGTTGTACGGGTGAGAAACATGGACGGTGGGCGATGATCAGGTATTAGAAAAAATATGTAAATTATTAAATAACAGTACTAATTAGAAAATGCGTTATTATAAAAAAAAATGCAATTGCATGAATATAGTAAAGTAATGAATATTATAAATAATTGTGAACAAAAAGGCATTCACAATGAAAGAACCAGACTTGACTAAGTCTCGTAATAGCAGACCAATCGTCGATGTTGTTTTACAATAACTAATCTATAGTCTTGGCTCTGAATTCCATACCTACATGAAATTCAAATCATCATCATAAGGTCGTCAGTCCTAAGACTGGTTGGACACGTATCTCCACTCTTTCCTATCCTGAGCTAAAACAACAACCCACATCCTTAACTATTTGCGAACAGTAATCTAATCTAGGTCTACTTCTACCCCTCCTAACTTCCGTTTTTGCCTCTAATATGTCTTTGATTGAACCTTCATGCCTGAGAAGGTGTGCTACTAACCTATCTCGCCTATTTGTTATTGACTTCCATACAGTGATCTGTTCTCTTACTCTTTCTAATACTTCATTCTAACCTTCTCTATCCACGTTATCCTCATCATTCG